TACGAGACGGCAACAACAACCAAGCCTCTCTGGAATCTACGTCTATCAACTTTCACGACATCCTCCCAGCGGCGGCTCGAAATTTGACTCGCCCTCATTTCGCCACCAACGCCTCTTTACAAGACACTCTCTTGGCCTCGACTCGCCGGAGCAGCATTCCCGCCAGACGTCACGAGCGTTTTCCGTGGGGAGATCTCTCGCTGTCTTGCGCCTCGTCCCTGACATTCCCTCGGCCTCCCCAAACACGCGAGCTTTGCAAAGGTTGCTGGAATATTGCCCTTGTTCGACTCTCGCTGCCACGGCCCTCTCCCGTTGCTCCCCCGGTACCCGTTGTCAGGTGAGTTTTGCTGCTGCCACCATTCCCCCCTTCCCTACGACGACGACGATGGCATACAAAGAAGCAATAAAACCCAGCGTCGAGCCGCCTCCCCCGCAACATCCACCCATGAACCGCAGGGCTCTTGTTCCACCTGCCTCTTTTTTTCATATGTACCTTGCCGTCTTGAACCTTCGAATACTCGCTTCTTGATACTGTTTTACTTGACAACCCATTATTACCATCTATTTTTTTCCCCCCTTTGCTTCCTTTTGTCGTCACCTCATGCCAATGCATCCCACGCGCTTTCCTTTGTCATCCTTGATACAACTGCCATATGGCCTCCAGTGAGCTGACTCGAAACTTCCAGCTCTCTCTATATCCTAATCTCGAGCGACGAGTCTGTACACGACCCGCCTCACACACATCCTAATACCCCATGAATTGATACCCTCCTCGGTTTGCTTCTTCAAGTCAACCATCCAAGGGCTGTCCTCTCTGCAATCAGGTAGCTCTATCCGTGTCGAAGTACTAGACTACCTTACGTGGTCTCTTGCGAACCTGCATCTTACCACCACTCTCCAGAGGCACCCTGACTGCTGGGATGCCTTACACGCCCCCCTCTCATAGTCGATCCCCCGCCAACTCTGCCCCCTCGTCGCCCGATGTAAGTCGACGGCCCTCTTTTCAGAGCAGCCCTAGACCATCACTACCTCGGTCCGCTTCCTATTTGACGAAGAACCGACGCAGCACGCCGTCGGCTCTGGGCGGAGGAAATGGCGCCACGAACGACAAGGTACCCGTCGGTGCGACAGACAACATCAGGACTCTCGCTACGACCAGTGTCCGACAATCGCCACCGCCGGTAACCAGCGAGAGTGGTATGCCTAACGGTGCTGTCATCTCACCTCCGGACTCCGCAAGCGAGGACGAGGAAGGCACGCAGCGCGGACGCCAGCTTCACAACCTGAAGGAACTGCAAGATGCCATCAGCCAAATCCCTGTTTCGCAGGGCACCCTCGCCCCCGCCAAAGACGGCCGCAGTGGACATCTCCAGGCCCGAAGTCATCTCGAGCAACAACATGGTTCACAGCTTCAGCACCCCCGACCTCGCGGGCGGAAGGAGGCGAACACACGCGCGCTCTGCTACCGAACCCAAGGTCATGATCTCCAAGTCTTCGGAGACCTCACTCACCGGTCTGAAGAGGAGTCCGATGAGGATCTTCATGATGAAGCCTCCGATGGTTCGAAAGAAGTCTGGAGAGCTCGTTCGCCCTGCTCTGCGTCCTTCATCCCACCGAAGGCCGTCCAGTATGCCCGGGACGCCGACCTTCTCAAAGGCGGTGCATTTCGACTCGCACCTCGAGCACGTGCGCCACTTCCTCCAGGTCGACCGCCCGCTCGCCGTAAGCGCTGGGTCGTCACCTGCCGATAACTACGACAGTGATAATGAGTATCCGTTCCCAGGCGATGAGCGATCCGGCACTCGGTCCCCTCCTTACGAGTGGGAAATCGTGACGGCTAACCAGCCGATGGATTCTCCTATCCGCAAGTCGCTGCCTGTGCGCCTCGAGAAGGTCTGGCTCTCACCCGACCAGAAGTCGTTACTCGGTTCTGTCGCCGTTGAGAACATGTCTTTCCAGAAGTCCGTCACTTGCAGATTCACACTTGACTACTGGAAGACCACTTCCGAAGTCGCCGCTGAGTACTCGCATGAGATCCGCCCTAAGGAGTCGGACGCTGGCCATGACCGTTTCACCTTCGCCATCAAACTCTCGGATTTGGCTCACCTCGAGTCCAAGACTCTCTATTTCTGTGTCCGCTACAACGTCATGGGACAAGAGTTCTGGGACAACAATGGCGGTACCAACTTCCAAGTGGACTTCCGCAAGAAGCACTTGCCTCAAAACGGCAAACGCATCATTGGCGCCGCCAGTAGGCCTGTCGGTGGCCTGCCCCGTAGCAACCGTCGGGCTAGCCCGGCTGCTAGCTCATCACGCCCTAAGTCTGTCAATGTTGGCTTCGACGATTTTGGCGGCGAGAAGGGCAAGTACAACTTCGACCAGCCCATCCACGAATATCTTGGAGAATCCGGCCCGCCTCTCCGCCTCAAGACCAAGTCGACCAGCAACCTGGCGAGTGATAACATTTCGAGGGGCTTGACCGCACCCAGCGGCCAGGCTTTCTCCAACCGCTATGACTTTGGTGCCTCCCTCACGGCCGCTGTTCAGGCCGCAAAGGACTCGATGAGCAAGGACACCAAGGCCGACGGTGGTCTGTACATGAAGAGCCACAAGAAGATCTCCATGGCCCCTGAGCCTCCCAAACTGAAGATGCCCGTCGTGCCTCGTGGTCCCTCGCCCATGGTTTCTAACCCGAAACCTGTGGCAGTGGCTGGCAACGACTCGCCCAACACTTCCTTGCTTCCAACTCATATGAGGAACTTGTCAACAAATACTGCTTTGTACGTACTTCCCGTCATCAG